TAAAAGTCCTAATCTAACTATAGACCATGATGATTTGTTGTTCTTTACTGTAAACAAGTCAAGTTTATGTTTGTTGAATATAACCTGTAGGCCTACATAATGGTATCATTGACTTTATATCCAGTCGCGGACACAGCTCCCATATTGGTTAGTTGGCAGAAATTGTGACGTTACATTTCACCTGGTGGGGGGGGGGGGTGGATTTCCAGGGGGTAGTGTTCCGCATCCCCAATAATGTAGTACAGAAAATTGTGTAAATAATTGAAAGTACATACAATATTGTGTGAAATTGCAGTAAATATTCTTGTATATATTAGTTTTATTATCAGACAAAAAAAAAATTAAAATAACAATTCTGACGGATTCATGTAAAATTTGTATGTTTTGAATAAAGATTTATTTGATTTGATTATTCTTGTATATGGACAAGACTATCCGTATCCATATACAAGACTATCTGTGTCCATATCTCCATATCTGGCGCCATTCTCACATCGGCGTGCGCAGCCGCAGGGCCGCCCCGAGGGCTATAGACGCCCGGGGCAAGATTTAAATTTTCGCCCCTCCTAAACAAAGGTATTTCGGGGGTTTGCGTCGATAGAGGGTTCATCGATATCGAACGTTATCCATGCATTTTTTAAATCCTTTACATACAGTATTCAGTTTGTTTAAATATAGGAATGGGTCCATAGACGGTCAATGTAAACAATAATGTTAGTAAATGCACGCTGTTAGCATTTAAAAATAACTCTATTATTTACAAAATGCCGAACTTTTGCTAACATAATTTGCCATAAAAGTATATGAAAAAGCATTAGAGACGAAAATCTTTGAAATTGTTTTAAAAAAATGTATACCATTTATTAAGAAACACAACACTTTATTTACAAAAACGTATCATTATAATATTGAAATTACAGTATAACAAACAGAACTTATGTAGATAAATCTTTTGGCAATACAGTAGATACAACTTTGAAACCATAATACAAGATTAATTTACACCCAATGGAATTTTCCTAGCTTTGGCATTTGCAAAAGAGGTTAAAATGTCTTTAAAGTCTAACTGTTTTGCCGCCTCATTTTCTATCGATAAAATTGCCAATGCATTCAGCTTTTCTTGCGTCATAGTGGATCGCAGATACGTCTTGATGAGTTTTAACTTGCTAAAACTTCGTTCAGCACTTGCTACAGTTAGGGGGATGGTCAGCAATATCCTTAGAGCAATCCACAAGTTTGTAAATAGATCTTTTTGGTCATGTGACTTAATACTCTTTAGCACCTTGATGGGAGATAACGCTTCATTTGTTTTATGTTCATCATGAACGATGCTTTTCACGTGGATAATTTCATTATACAAGTCATTTCCGTTTATGTCACTAATGTTATCAAATGTAAGAAATTCTTGAAGTTTCAGGCAACACTTCTTCAACTCCTCTTTTTCTGGCAACTTGCTAAGGTCATACAAAAAGCTCCATAAAGAATGGTGCTTTTTCAGCTGTTCAGTACGTTCAGTAAGAGATGTGGTTACACTATCAACAAGGGGCAAAAATACATCCCTATTAAAGAGTTCCTGTGGAGTACCGTTAATTTCATCTGGCCCTTCATAAGAAAACTGTTTCTTTTTCTTCCTTAAAGGCTTTTTCGGGAAAACGGGCTCAGTTCCAATACTTTCGGCAATCTCCTTAGCACAAATGATTGCATCTACAAGCCCTGATTCTCGAAAAGACCCTAGGAAGGCTTGGCAATTATCAAGCAGCCTTTTGGCTGATGTTAAATCAGTCATTTTCCCTTGTAATGTTTTGCTTACAAGATTAACTTGAAACAGAAGGTCGTGCCAAACAATTAAACAAGTCAAGAAAGAAAAATCTTCCATATGCGATATCAGAGACTGAGCTTCTGATGCTGTTTTAGGGTCTTCAACACTGTCTGCAAGTTCAATTAATGCTTGTCTAACGTCAGCATACTGGTACCTGATAGCCTGAATGGAAGAAATCCTCGCTTCCCAGCGAGTTTCACAAACTTGTTTAATAGTTAGTGATTGGACGTGTTCACTCACTATACAATAGCGTTTTGTCGATCCCGCAAATATAGTGTAGATCCTCTGAATTATTCCAAACAGTGAGGTTGACTTAACAGACGACTTTGCACCATCAGATATTACCAGATTCAAACTGTGACTGGTACACGGTGTAAACGAAGCACGAGGATATTCTTTTAAGACTCTAGCCTGGACACCTTTGTTTACACCAGCCATATTAGCACCGTTGTCATAAGCTTGTCCTCGGCAGTCATTCATGTTTAAATGGCAACTTTCAATTTCAGCGAACAACAGCTCTGAGAGAGCTTCTCCAGTTGATTCTTTTGCCACTTTATATCCAATAAAACTTTCTTCAACGGCCACATCACCACTTATTCCATCTTGTTCTGTTACATATCGGATTGTGAGAGATATCTGGTCTTTATGGGTTATATCTGGAGTGCTGTCCAAGATTACAGAAAAATACTTGGATTTATTTATTTTTCTGATTGTAGCCTTCTTTACTTCAGATCCCAAAAGACAAATTAGCTCGTTTTGAATATTATTTCCTAGAAGAGTCACTTGGGAGGAGGCACTAGTTACCCTTCGCAAGTGATCTGACATGACACCATCGAATTGTCCTATCAGCTCGATCAGACATAAGTAATTGCCGTTATTCTTAGTAAATAGCTTTGAAGATGACCCTCGAAAAGCGATATTATGTTCTGCCAAATATAAGATTATAGCGACAAGGCGCTTAAAAACTTCCTGCCATCTTTCTGTCTCTCTCCTAATTTGGTCCGATAGAGCATGATTCACCGAAATACATTTTTTTAGACGTAGCTCGGCTTCAAACCAGATAGTCATAGTTTTGAAATGCTCTGGTGTGGTTTCGTGTAAACGAAGTCGCTCTGCCAGGTGTTTCCAATCATTAAAACCTGACTTTTGACCAAGTTGTGACTTTGAATTAGGCTCGAAAAGTCGGCAACAGAAGCAGTATACTGAGTTGGTGCCTTCAGAATACACCAACCATTTGCGTTTTACCTTTTCCCCATTTTCCGCACATCGAAATTGGTGTTCATTAGAAAAATGTCTCTTTTGGGCATTTTTTGGATAATCATTATCAGCCTTTAACGGTATAGGCCCTTTTAAAATTAACTCGTCTCTTTCATCTCTATTAATGATATCTGGCCAAGAGGATGGATCTGAATTGATTAGGCCTACGTTGACGGTTTTAGGAGATGAAATCGACAACTTTTCATTCTCATTAATATTTTCTTCAATCGAAACTGAATCTGGAAGGACTTCATTAGGTGTACTCACGTTTACTGAGACATGTTCAGGCTCACTAATTATTACCGCCGAAGAACTGGAAGGAGCAAAATAGGATGTAAGCTTTGGGACTTTTTTCAGAAGTGCTTCAGTCGCAGCCTCCTCTTCTCGAACTAACTTGCGTCTTTGCGCTCCAGAAAGTTTTTTAGACATCGTTATTTAAAACAGTCATTCACTTTGTAGTAATCCTACTATAGGCCTAAGGAAATATCACTGTTACATGTTGTACTTATCGTCAAAACCACGTCTTTATTAACAGTTCAAGTTTGCACAACCACTGAGCTAATCGTAACGTAACAACTACCATAGACTAACTCAACTACACTGAACTAAATTTGAGGTTAGAAACGAGCAAGTGTAGGTGCGTGTGGGTGAATGCGCAGTGTGTATGTCTCGGACTCGCAGTATTGCCAACACGGCAGACGTAAAAGTAGGCCTAGTAATAGTACGAGTTGTATATTAAATAACAGTATTAATTTTACGAATAAAACGAAAACGAAAGCTAAATATTGTCTTTTTTAAATAGTCATTGTCATTGATTACATGTTTACGAGTTCCCGGAAAATATTCGTTCGCTGTTTGCCGATAACGTTGTTAAATTTTTTACCTACCAAAGCCGCGGCGCCCAGGGCGGTCGCCCCGCTCGCCCCGCCCTCGGGGCGGCCCTGCGCAGCCGTTTAGCACGCTTCTATCTGTGCTAGAGAAAGCATCGTACAATCTTGCATTCTGTTGTTATAACAAAAAAACATGAGCGCCGCCATAGAAAATTATGCCAAGTGTGAAGTGCATGGTGTAAACAGATTTCTGTAGTCAAAGAATCACACAGCAGCAAAAATGCAATAGGAATTGAGTGTGGTGTATGGCCTAAACATTATGAGTGAAGGTGTAGTCCGTCAATTGGTTTGGATTTTTTTAAATGGAAGAACGAACGTTCATTATGGCGACAGGAGCAGTAGGCCATCTGATGAATTGGTGAACAGAGTAAACGAGAAAATTCGTAAGAATCGGCGCTTCACTATCTCGAAACTTTCTGATCACTTCCCTGAAATTTCTCAAAATGACAGAAAAACTTGGCTACGGTATCACAAGTTTTGTGCTCGTTGGATTTCAAAAGTACTTACCGACATTATCAAAATTAAAAGAATGATATCTCACTCGGTATGACATTGAAGGAGGACCTTTTTTGGACGGAATCGTTACTGGAGGTCAGAAATGATTAAAATTTTTTTCATCCCAACCCATTGACAGAATACACCTTCACTCATAACATTTGGGCCATACACTGCACACAATTCACGATGAATTTCAGCTGCTGAGTGATTCTTTGACTACAGAAATCTGATTACACCACGTACTTCACACTTCAGATTCACTAAGGAAGTATGTTTAATCTATGGTAGAACCCACAGCTCAGATGAGCTTCAAAGCAGAGTATCAAGGAAATATCTTGTTAGTGAAAGCCAATAGTGGTGGTAAGGATCTGAGCCTAGAGCTCTTGTACCAAGAATCCTGCTTTCTAATCATCAAATAAACTTATTTAACACAATATTTAATTACCACACTAGTCTAGAACAAATTTTCCTGCACTTGGGAACATAATACATAACGTCAAATTGTCAAAGTTTAGAAGGAGTAACCACAATGGTAACAGACGTAGTTTAATGTATAAATAACATGTTATATATATTGTATATCATGTTATACATGAAAATAATATGTACAAAAAGGCTAGCAGCTTACAAAGAGTGTAGCAACTACGTAGGATCATCTTCTGAGGAATCATAATCTGCTACCAGAGAAGAAACTGCAGAACTTGGCCTTGTGATTCCCAACTCAGAGGCGGAGAGAGTTTTGGGGGTTGATGGCAACAATGATATCTTCTTCCGAACCAACTTCTGGTTCTCAACAGCACCTGTGAAACAAGAGTGATATACTAGAAAGGCAAAAACTTCAAATCTCAACAGGATCTATGACAGTTGAGTAGGGGTAAGATTTGGTTTGATTCCTGTTAATTGGGGCTTGTCAGAGAATGGGTCAAGAAACTGTATGGTTCTAAAGGACTTGCTGATTCAATTACATACTCGACATATTGTTTATCAACCAAGGAAGCAAGTCTTAAATAGCTACAGTACAGCCTCGTTAAGGAGGCCGCATTCTCCAGAAGCCTGTTCTCCAAATAATTCAAACCGGTTTGGAATAAATAAACAAACATTAATACAAAATTTACATTTTGGTAGCGCTGTTGCTTTTATGAATGCGAAATTGAGCAGTGATTGTGGTTGCATCGATTTTGCAAAATTGATGGGTTTTGCCATGACTGTACATCTGATGACTGACAGTGGTGTTGCTTGGTAAAATTCCAGGGGGTGGAGAAGACTCAACTGCTTATCATAGATTTCCCAACTATTTTTTATTTTAAGAAACCAACTTCTGTACTATTTAAAAAATATACAAATTATTATTTGGGTTTAACACTAATGGCCCCATTTAATTTAGTGTTATTTAAACCCAAATAATATGCATTTGATATAGTAAAATTAAGTTTTTTGTTGTTTACACAAAAACTAAAAGAGATACAAAGTAAGTGTAAATTACAAAGTTGTTAAGAATTGAAAAACCTATAACATGATGTGCCGTTTAACATATTATTTTGCTATTTGGAAATTTTTAACAATGGGCATTGGCATTTGCAAATTTTCAAAAATAATTTTTTTTTAGTTTTTATTATTTCAAAAAACCGTTACTTGTAGCATATCACAGTAAAGCTAATTTCATAACAAGGAAAAAAATTCAACCGGAGAAGGGCTAAGTGCATTGGTATAGGAAACACAAGAGTATTAAAAAAATATTGACTTTTCCCAAAAATACTGCCGCCATTTTGTAACGGAAAAAGATCGTTAATTTCTGTTAACTTGCCTTGAGAATAAAATTTGGAAGGAGTGCCGAAATGTTTATCTATTAAATTCCTTTAAAACGGTGTATGACATATGCTTACGTTTTAAAATTTTGAGATGCGAACTAGTGACCTTCAGTTTTTGGCACACCCTGTATCGGAAGAAAGCTAAAAACATTTTAAAGTCATTCCTTGGGGTCAATTTAGCGAGAAATAATTTTATTTCATCCTTGTACGTTAAGCCGTTTTTCCGTAATCAATTCGAGACACCTTACGTGGGACACCCTGGATACAAACGTTTTACCAATTCATAAAGAAATGTTATGTTATGACTCCAAAGAACTTGAATAAGTATTGTTTTAAATCCAATAAACATTACAAACCATTGTGGTAGCCGTCGTATCAGTGTAAAATTTTAGGGATACAATAAAATAGGCCTAGAACTAATTAGTATGGAAAAAAATATTTTATTACAAAATAATGAAATTAAAATAGGCTTTTAGAAATTGATATTAAGATCACCATTTTCACTTTCATAAAACTTACAACTAGGCCTAAACAAGTTTTTAATTATGAAACATTAAAATCAGTGCTTTGAATAATATTATTAAATAGATCTTAAACGTCATTTTAGGTTTTTCCATGTAGATCTGTTTCAAAGTGATTAGTTGATTAATTTGTTTAAATCCTTAATTAGGAATTATTAGCAAGCACTCCTGTCAGTTGGCCTAAAGGTATAAAATATAGTCATCATAATAATTCAACTGAAGAGCATTCATTGCTTGCACTTTCAAACTTGCAGTCTCGCAAACTCGCAGACGAATCATTAACACAGGACAGGATCAGGGATCAGGGTAGCCAACATACGTCCAATAAGGAACAAAATAACACATTGATTTGACTCCTCCATGTTGGACCGCGGCCATATCTGACTTAATAATAATCTGTTTGAGAAAGAAAAATATAATATATACATACTTACAACAAAACACTGTAAATATATTTACACATAACAAATCAAACAAAACCAGTGGCATTGCTACAGACAGTCATGAGGAGCCTCCACCCCCCCCCCCCCCCCAGAATCTGGGAAAGAGAAAAGTTGGGAATTCCCTTGCCACAAGTTGGGACAGTTGGAAGTCAGAGATACAAGGAAAATATATTTTGAAACAAAATAAAATTTAAATATTCGCAAAACACCATCAAAGATTGAAGTTTTTTTTGACTTTGACAAATAAACTTGATTTTTCTTCAACTTGCATTTAACTTTGATTTTACATCTTAGGCTAAACACACCTTATTTTAAGAAATCAATAATCAATTAGCAGTATAGTTTGTTGGAATTTTGTTTGCGAGAAATGTTGTTCCTTATTGGACGTATGTTGGCTATACCCTGATCCTGTCCTGTGTTGATGATTCTGATGATTCGTCTTCGAGTTTGCGAAACTGCGAGTTTGAAAGTGCAAGCAATGTAGCTCTTCAGTTGAATTATGATCTATACCATAGCATACCTTAAGAACCAAATTTTCTTAAACCGTGTCCTCTCCCAATGCAAACGCAAAGCCAAGTATAACTGCAATAAGCATTTTATAATGATACGCCAACCCCGTATGAAGGACGGGTACTCTGCTAGTAGAACAATAAAAGAATAATTCAAAAGACATTTCAAAAATACCAAAGCTTACTTCTGGTAGGCTTCATTTTGAGTAACGAGGCCAATTTGATGTCTTCATCGTGTTCAGGAACCAAAGCAATATCCAGACCTGTCTTCTTTAACAGAGCTTTATCTATTTTCTCTTTAGCTTTGAACTCTTTCTTCTTTACCTGGATTAAAAAATGGATTTAAATTTGTGCTGCAATAAACTATGAACCATTGTTACTCACTGGTCAGAAGAATACTGTGCTGCCATCCCCAGTCGATGTGTAGCTGGTAGTGCTAAGCTAATGGGCTTTTGATAATGTTATTGTGGCCAGTTAATGTAATGTATAACACTCTTTGATTATTAATTTACTTACATATTGATCGTATGTCTTTAAATAACTTCTTGATTAACGTGTGATGTATTTTTAGAATCAATTCTGGTTCAAACCATAAGGGGTTTTCTTTAATCTTCAAGGCAATAGTTTAAGTTATAGGTTCAGTAAGAGTACTCAACTCAATCCATCAAAACCCTCAGTTAAGCTTTAGAAATCCATAATACATTGGTCAAAAACTAAAAAGTCTGAAATAACTTACAAAGAAGTTTAATTTGCCTAACCTGTTACTTTAAGTTTAGATTTAATTTAATTTGTCTTGTCATTTATATGAAGTTTAAAAAAAAAATAAAATAAAATACCCCCGCCGCAGCAAACCTGCCGTCTAAGCGAATTTCCATTTGGCCGAATTGATTTTCAATTGATCTATTTAAATAACATTAGGTTTAACGAGTACCTACCTAGGTTTGCTGCTACAAGGAAACTAATAAAGTAGTGTGTTTTTAGTAAAATATTGATAGTTTACTATAAAATAAATAAATTTGCCAAGTTTGATCAAAATATATCCATAAACAAGCAAACTACAACATTTGACAATATTCTCCATAAGAATAACATGGGAATTTTAAATTTACCATTTTTTTAGTTTTCTCCGTAACCAATAACCGTACAAAAACACTTTGATATACTGAATTGTTTGTTTTTTTAAGCTCTTTAAGAAGGTTTAGAGAAAAATTGGGAAATTTTGTGTTTTGTGGGTAAGAAGTGAGAAAAACCAACTTTTACCCCATAAAACCCCCCATAAAACCCTTTTCCCATGGTCCGATCATGCTGGATCGCGAACTCATTCAAGTTTATCCCGCCTTACACCTTCAAACCAAATTTCATCAAAATCGGATAAAAATTACTCAAGTTATCGTGTTCACGGACACACATATATATATATATATATATATATATATATACTAGCTGTACCCGCGGGCTTTGCCCCGTTTAACTTCTTAATTTTCAAGATAAGCTCGTTCGCATGGTTCAATCACGTCCTGGTTGAAGTTCGTTCGCTACGCTCACTCACTTTTAGGTTGGAGCTCGTTCGCTGTTCTCACTTGCCTTCAGGTTAGCTCGTTCGCTACGCTAACTCGCCTCCAGGTTGAAGTTCGTTCGCTACGCTCACTCACCTTTTGGTTGCAAATTAGCTGTCATAAATTTAAAAAAAAAATTATAGTGCTGCACCCTGTTGGTAATCCTCGTAACTTTAATGCTATTGCACATCATAGAACAGAACCAACTTGTTTAATTGAAACAGCTGTTAAGATTCATTAATTCCATTTAAATATGAGTACTCATAATAGACCATGAGCCACCAATATGAAACCCTCCCCCCCCCCCCCCGTGGGAATTTATGACTTATACTTTTTTTTGTTGGTATTACCTACCAGATTAAGAATTCAGTTGTTTGCCTCTTTTAAATTACAGCGTATTTCGGAAAATAAAGAAAAACTGTTAAATTTAAAAACTGTTTGATTTAAATTACATAAGGGTAGCCTGCGTTAATTACTGGTGAAATATTTTTTTATTGACTTCTTCAGTATGTATTCAAAGGCTTCAAATGAAAATAAAAAAAGTTAATAAAATGCCCCCGCTGCAGCAAACCTGCAGGCAATGCGGATTTCAAATTGGCCTGAATTGATTTTCAATTAAATCTATTTAAATAACATTAGATTTAACGAGTACCTCTAGGAAAGAGATTTTAAGAGATTCTATCTAAATTAAATAAATTTTATTGAGAAATTGTTTACGTAAATTTTACTGGAATGTAAGGTTCCAGTAAAATTAACGTATAAAACTTTGTTTTCCTCGTATCAAAATCGGATTTGCGACTGTAATTTTCTTTTTAAATTTCTTTAAAATAATGTGCTGATTGATATGGGTTGCCTTTACAAACATTTAAGTTACTCTTAGCAACCCTTTTTGTAGGTGGGGGGTGAATTTCAAAATATCACCAAAAAGAACCTTAGAAACGTGTATTGAAGCTTGTTTGAATTTATGCATATTTGTGCTGAGACCATTCATTATTTAGCAGGTTAACCCGTTGTTCCTTATTTTTACCATTAGCTAGGATTTTTTTCCAATCCCGTGGGATCTTGATTTTGGACCTCTCATTAAAAACGTGTCTCCAAATCCCCTTCTCCCTTTCAATGTTTTTAATAGATACACCTAAATAGGTATCCGTAATAAAGTATATCATTCTGAATTTCGGAAAACGGCTGAAGGCAATCTGTGCTAGTTCACCAGAGGTTTCTGGAATATTAGTAAGAACCTAAAAGTAAGCCATACCGTCAATTACATACATACATTCTTCAATCTTGGAAGGTTCGTCTACTATATACCCTTGTTCTCCAAAGCATGGAGCAGTTTGGCCTTTTCTGTTTTTGTTGGGCATCCATCGGTAGTGGCTAATGCCCCTGGTCCTGGATCTAATGGGTATGTCATCAGCTTCTCAAGGTTAATATCACATTCCTGGGACAGCAGTAAAACTCCAGAAAAATATTTCTTTTAGCTCATATCTCAACTAATTTGTTTGCAATCAGTTTTCCCTAGATTAACTCAGATTCCCGGTTCTCAACTCTCCAGATAAGAGTAAGACTGAAATTTCTCGCATAATTGAAATGCTAAAAGAAGCTAAGGAGGAAAGGACAAAATGGATACAGAAATGAATAAATCGTTTGAGTTTGTTCACAAATTGGTGGAGGATCAAAAGAATGTACTGAAAGAACAAAACAAGCAGTTAGCAGATTTTATGAATTTAGTCCAAGGTCTACAGGATGAAAACCAACAGTTACGTAAGAGAGTTAAGGAGCTCGAGACAAGGATAGATGACACCGAGCAGTACCAAAGAGCAAATACTGTAGAGATTTATGGTATACCCGAGCTTCCTGATGAGGATACGTATGAGGTTGTGTCAAAAGTAGGTGCGGCTCTGGATGTGGACATTTCTAGAGACATGGTGGACATTTGTCATCGGCTGGGCAAGAGTAGAGATCCTGGGCGGCCTTCGGGAATAATTGTTAAGTTTGTTCGTAGAGAGGTAAAGCAAATCTTGCTCAAGAAGAGGAGGAATAGAAAGAGAGACTTCACAACCCAGCACGTAGGCTACCAGATTTCTTCAGGGCCGGTCCCCGTCTTCATTAATGAAAGCCTAACTTTAGCCAGAAGAGGATTGTACAAGGCTGCTAAAGAGGCAAAGAAGAGCAAAGGATATAAGTATCTTTGGGTCCAGAATGGTAGGGTTCTCATGAGACAGGCTGACGACACTTCGGTTATTCATATTGCAACTAAGGAAGATATAGCTTCCCTGTAAACTATAGACATACCTGTATTTTTGTATTATGTCTTATTTTAATTAATGTCAGACAATCGCAATGAAATATTATCTTTAAATAGTTTTTTTGAAGATGTTTATAGTTTAAAAATTATGCATCAAAACATCCGAAGTGTTAGAGAAAACTTTGATTCATTTATAATAGTTCTTAATAGTTTAAAAGTATTGCCTGATATAATTGTGTTAAGTGAAATTTGGATCAGCGATTGTGAATGCGATGCATTCAGAATATCTGGTTATCGCAATTACTTTGCGTGTAATAACGATTACAGAGCCGGAGGAGTTGTTGTTTATGTTTCTAATTGTTACTCGAGCCGTCTGGCAGAACCAGGCGCTGCGCTGCGAACAGCTGACTCAGTCAAGGTCATTGTTGACATCTCTCCGTCTTTGTCAATCACACTGCTTGCTCTCTACCGTCTACATTCATATTCAAAACAAACCTTTATTGATGAGCTTGAAAATATGTTATCTACAAGTACTGATCGCAACTTTTTGGTTGTCGGTGATATAAATTTGTGTCTCCTTAAACACTCTGTAGAATCTGATAGATATCAGGCAGTGATGGCAAACTCTGGGTTAAATCAATTAATAAATGATCCTACTCGCATATCGGGCAATACCATTAGTTTAATTGACCATATTTATTTTAGATCTCATGATAATATTATTAGCAGTGGTAAGGTTATTCCATTGGGCTTAACTGATCATGATTGTACGGTCTGCAACCTTAGTGTTGGTCATCATTTGACCAATATCAACTCAGATAAACTTTATCAGTACAAGAAAGTTGATTATATTATGTTAAGGCGCCTAGCAGAGTGTACAGATTGGTCCTTTGTTTTTACTTGTAATAACATTTATGAAGTTTTTAAACTGTTTTTGGATCGTTTCTTAGATATAATAAATAGGTCTACTCTCTGTAGTGAAAACACCGTTAAATACAAAATACTTAAATCATGGATGACATATGCTTTATGTAAAAGGCAACTTGCTAGAAATGCATTGTACAAAAAGGTTAAAAAATACCCACAAAACACAAGATTAAGGACATATTTTGATACTTTTTCGAGGAGGTTAAAGGCTGATATGAATACAAGAAAAGAGCAGTATTATAAAAACCTGTTTGATTCAAATAAAAATAATATGAAAAAACAATGGCGTGCTGTTAATAGCATATTGGGTGCCAATGATTCAAACAAAGATATTGCTAGTGTTTATTCCCGTACAAATCCCAACGAACTCATAAGTGATCCCCGGGGAATAGCTGATGAATTTAATAATTTTTTTATCAATGTTATAGACGATTTGCGTAATGGGTTAGACTCTTTGAATGGGGTTGATGTTACCAATTATTCAAAACGTTTTCCATCAAAAAACAATTTAAACTCTTTATTTTTGGTACCAACTGACTCGGAAGAGTTAAGTAGGATTATATTAAGCCTAGATTCCAACAAGTCACCTGGTATTG